ACTTCATTCTTCTTGGATCAACTATCAACACTCATGGAAGCAGCAGTCAAGATCAAATGATGCATTGCATTAGGCAAATCTGCTGGTGTTGTAGGAGAATATTGAAAGTACCCTGGGCTGCCAAAAGAACCAATAGATCCGTTTTGGAAGAAGTGCAGCCAGAGTGCTCCTTGGAGGCCAGGATGGCCAAACTTTGTCTCTCATACTTCAGATACTATATTTGGTAAGGTGGAGGGTCAGAGAAAAAGAGGAAGACCCCCAGCGAGATGGATTGGCCAAGTGGCAGCATCAGTGGGCTCAAGCGTGGCAACAATTGTGAGGCTGGCCCAGGACTGGGCAGTGTTTCGTCTATTGTACGTAGGGTCGCTATGGGTCGGTACTGACTCGATGGCGTCTAACAACAACAACATATGCATGTTTGACTATAATGACATTGAATTTAGAGATTTAGAGAAATTTAACTTCTAGAACTGGAGATTCCAGTTCATGAGAATTGCATTCTATTTGTTCAAGTTTTCTTCTGACCTTTTGGTGAAGTTTTGGGTTCTCCCTGTGAAGGTATTACTCAGGGAGCTAGTTCACAAGGGCTTGTAGTTGACATTAGGTTCCAGGGACTGCTATAGATTCAGACTTTTTTTTTTTTAAGTGTCCAAACAAATTTCTAAAATGTCAGAAAAACATAAAAAAATCTGTCTTGGTAAAAGTTCAACTAGAACACTTCACAGGTGAGAGGATGGCAAAGCTTCACCTTACATACTTTGGACACATTATCAGGAGGGATCAGTCCCTGGAGAAGAACATCCTGCTTGGTAAATAAAGGTCAGCAAACAAGAGGAAGACCCTGAATGAGATGGACTGTCACAGTGACGGGAACAAGACTCAAGCTTAATAGCAATTGTGAGGCGGGTGGAGGAGCACGCAGTGTTTCGTTCTGTTGTTCACAGGTTTTCCAAGAGTCAAACGCATCAACTTATTCTATAAGAACCAACTCCATGACACCTAAAAACAATACAATATACTTTACGAGTTTTAAAAAGAAACAGTTTTGAAAAGTTCAGTGAATTTCTTTTTGTTTTAAAAAGTTCTTTCCTGTCTGAAGTATTTATTTGGCTACTTAACATTGCTATTGCCTTGGGCACTTTGTTGAATTTTCTTTATAGAGTAAATTAAACTGTTTACTGGAGGGTGAGCATGAAGACCCAACTAGAGAGCTATTATGTATTCATAATCAAGACAAGACTAAGCAACAGTTCTTTAATCTACCATTCAATATGCTTCTAGTTAAAATCAAAAAGATTGTTCTCAGAACTTGACAAGCTGACCCCGAAGCTCCTCAGGAGGGAAAATGAGCCCCAGGCCGAGGACCACAAAGAATGGGTTCTAAGGAACTGATTTTGGGAACTGCTTTTGGCCAATGGCCTACGGTGGCCTAGGGAGTAATAGCTGCTGTCCCACAGGGTTGTCGGGGAATGACAAGGGAAGATGTAGGTGAAGCTCTCCACACCATGCTACTCCCAGGGAGAAGGGCCTGGCCCGACTCTTCCTGGGGGACTCACATATTCCAGGAAACCATGACTCCACTGTCTACTGGGACTCACGTGTTCTAGAAAAACCTCGGCCCCATTGTGCCCTGGGACTCCTGTGTTCAGGAAGCCTCGCCTCCGTTGTGCCAGGGACTCACGTGTTTCAGGAAACCTTGGCCCACAGCCAGTGGGCATTGCCAGCATCGCTCCAGCTCCCTGAGAAAGTGCTGCCCATGGAAGTCATAGAGCTTCTCCAGGTTCCCAAAGATGATGCCACGTTTCCCCCGCAGATCCTGAGGCAGGTCCAGCCTTTCCATCTCTGGAAAATAGTTGTCGATGACATAGCCTAAGGACCTGACATACTCCCTCTCTGTGGACACCATCTCGGCCATTATGTGATGCAGGCGGCTGGAAGATAAGAAAACAGGTTGGATGCATCACCTAAGTCCCAAGGATCATGTCTACTTAGAGGCTTTGTCCCACAGGGAAACAAAGCCAACTTCAGGAAACTGGAGACAGACAGGTGGTGCGTCCTCTGTACATGGGGGACACTAAACAATTGCTCTCAAGATCATTTGTTTTCAGAAACAAAAGATTCCAATCTGCTCCACACTTTGGCTTTCTCTGTCGGCATCTGGAGCAGTCCTGCTGTGTCCCTGTAGGTTCAACGCTGGACTGCACATTGCAAGGACAGCAGTTCAAACCCACCAGACACTCCAGTTGTTGTTGTTAGGTGCTGTCCTGTTAGTACCAACTCTTTCTGCACAGCAAAACACAGCACTGACCACTCCCGGGCCAAATTCACAATCGTTGCTATGTTTGAGTCCATTGCTGCTGCCACTATGCCAATCCATCTCATTGGGGGTCTTGCTGTTTTTCGCCGACCCTCCACTTTACCAAGCATGATGTTCTTCTCCAGGGACTGATCCCTTCTGACAATATGTCTGAAGTATGAGAGACAAAGTCTCACCATCCTGGCTTCTTCTCAGGAGCATTCTGGCTGTACCTCTTCCAACACGGATTGGTTTATTGTTTGGGACTTTTAATAGTCTTCTCCAGCATGTTAACTCAAATGCCTCAATTCTTCTCCAGTGTTCTTTATTCATTGTCCAACTCTCACATGCATATGAGATTACTGAAAATACCATGACTTGCTCAGTGCACCGTAGTCCTCAAACTGCCATCTTTGCTCTTCAACACTTTAAAGAGGTCTTGTAGAGCAGATTTGCCTGATGCAATATGTTGTTTGATTTCTTGATTGCTGCTTCCACGAGAGCTGATGGTTGATTTGAGCAAAATGAAGTCTTTGACATCTATCTGTTTTCCACTTATTGCTCTAGTGGTGAGGATTTTTGTTTTCTTTACATTGAGGTGTAACTCATACTGAAGGCTGTGTTCTTGGATCTTCATCAGTAAGTATTTTAAGTCCTCTTTGCTTTCAGCAAGCAAGGTTGTATCATCTGCATATCACAAGTTAATGAGTCTTCCACCAATCCTGATGCCACATTCATCTTCATACAGTTCAACTTCTTGGATTATTTGTTCAGGGTACATGCTGAATAAGTATGATGAAAGAATACAACCTTGGCACACATCTTTTCTAATTTTAACCATTCAGTGTTCCCTTGTTCTGGTCAAACAGCTGCCTCTTGGTTTATGGACAGGTTCCTCATGAGCACAATCAAGTATTCTGGAATACTCATTCTCCACAAGGTCGTCAGGTCGTCGATAGCTTGTCATGTTTCACACAATTGAAAGCCTTTGCATAATCAACAAAACACAGGTAAAATCTTTCTGTAATTCTCTGCTTTCAGCCAAGATCCATCTGACGTCAGCAATGATATCTCTCATATCACGGCCTCATCCGCTGTCATTTCTCTGTCAATCTACTGTTGCGTCCAGTTTTGAATTCTGTTTAATAAAATTCCACTTGCATGTGAGATTAGTGATACTGTCTGGTGATTTCTGCATTCCTTTGGGTCACTTGGCTTTGGAATGGGTGCAAATATGGGCCTCTTACAATCAGTTGGCTGGGTAGTTTTCTTGACACCGATGAGTGAGGCCTCCAGAGCTGCATCAGTTTGGTGGAAGAATTCAATTGGCACTGCACCAATTTCTGGCACCTTGTTCTTTGCCAGTGCCTTTGGAGCACCTTGGACTTCTTCCTTCAATATCACTGGCTCTTGATCATATGTTATCTCTTCAAATATTTGAATATCTACCATTTCTTTTTGGTACAGTGACTCTGTGTATCCCTTCCATCTTCTTTTGATGCTTTCTGCATCAGTCAGTATTTTGCCCATACAATCCTTCAATATTGCAAGTTGAGGCTTAAATTTTTTCTTCAGTTCCCTCAGCTTGAGAAATGCTGAGTGTGTTCTTCCCTTTTGGTTTTGTAGCTCTAAATATTTGCACATTTCACTTTAATATTTGAGTTTGTCTTCCTGGGCTGCCCTTTGAAATTTTCTATACAGCTCTTTTACCTCCTCATTTCTTCCATTTGTTTCAACATCTCTACACTGGAGAGCAACTACTCTACTCTTTGACTTCCATTTGGGTCTTTCCCTTATTTCTTGTCTTCTTAATGACTTTTTGCTTTCTTCCTGCGTGATGTTCTTGGTGTCATCCCACAACTCTTCTGGTCTTCAGTCTTTAGTGTCTAATGCATCAAATCTGTTCTTGAGATGATCTCTAAATCCAGGTGGGATATGTTCCAGGTCATATTTTGGCTCTCATAGACTTGTTTTAATTTTCTTCAGCTTCAGCCTGAATTTGCATATGAGTAATTGATGGTCTGTTCCATAGTCTGCCCCTGGCTTTTTTTTGGCTGATGATCTGGAGTTTTTCTACCATCTTTTTCTACATATATATGTCAGTTTGATTTCTCTGTATTCCACCTGATGAGGTCCATGTGTATTAGTCATCTTTTATGTTATTTAAGAAAGGCATTTACAGTGTGTAAATTATTGGTCTTGCAAAATTCTATCATGTGATTTTCAGTCTCTTCTCTATCACCAAGGCCAAAGCTTCCAGCTACTGATCTTTCCTCTTTATTTCCAACTTTTGCATTCCAAAATGCCAGTAATTATCAATGAATCTTGACTGCATGTTTGATCAATTTCAGACTGAAGAAATTGGTAGAATTCTTCACTTTCATCATCACTGGATTTAGTGGTATGTGTGTAAATTTGAGTAATAGTTGTATTAACTGGTCTTCCTTGTAGCTGTATGGATATTATCCTATCACAGACAGCATTATACTCCAAGACAGATCTTGATAGGTTCTTTTTATGTCATCATAAAAATAGGATGCCATTCCTCCTCAATTTGTCATTCCCCACATAGTAAACTATGTAACTGCCAGATTCAAAATGGCCAATACCAGTCCATTCCAGTTCACTTGTTGTTGTTAAGTGCTGTCGAGTCGATTCCAACCCGTAGTGAACCTGGATAGGGTTTCTAAGGAGCAGCTGGTGAGCCTGAACTACCAACCTTGCAGTTCAAACGACTTTGCAGTCTAATGCATTAACCCACAACACCACACCAGGACTCCACTTTATCAATGCCTCAAATATTGATATTTTATGAGATCCATTTCATTTTTTGACAACTTCCAACTTTCTTAGATTCATATTCATACATTCCATGTTCTGATTATTAATGGATGTATACAGTTGTTTCTCCTCATTTTGAGTTGTGCCCCATCATCAAATGAAGGTTTTGAAGGTTTTACTTCAGTCACGTCATCACGGTCAACTCCACTTGGAGGCGGCAGCTCTTCCCCAGTCGTGTTTGAGTGCCTTCCAACTTGAGGGGCTCATCTTCCAGCACTCTGCTATCTGACAGTGCTCCACTGCTACTCACAAGGCTCTAAATGACTGAATAGTAGGAGCAGTTGTCTCTCCTTCTTCCGAGTTCATCTAAGTCTGGAAGCTCAGCTGAAACCTGTCCACCACGCATGGCCCTCTTGGAATTTAAAATACCAATGACAGAGCTTCCAGAATCAAAACAACATGCCAGCCACCACAGCATGACAAACTGACCTATGAATGGTGACTAAGGTGCCGACTGCACAGCACTTAACAACAACAACATGAGAAAAGATGAGAAATAAAGGGACGGGATACACTTTAGGGAAAGACTTGAAACGTCATTCGTTCACTGACCATTGTAAAATGGGGTCTTTTCAGATGAGAGGCCCCTTTGAAAGCTGGTGCCCTGATGGTGCAGTGCATTATGTACTGAGCTTCTAACAGCAAGGGTGACTGTTCAAACCTTGCTCCGAGGGGACAAAATGAAGTGGTCTGCTCCTGTAAAGACTTACAGCCTTGGAGACCCTACAGATCAGCAGCTTTACTCCATCCTTATGGGGTCACTATGGTTGGAATTGACTGGGCAGCAGTGGCCTGTTGATTATTGTTTGAAAGTTGGAAAGCAGGGATTGTGTCAGATTCCTGGGGCTCCTTAACTTTATTTCTGAGCCATGGTGGTTCCCTGTCCCAGGTGGTTTCATTCTGGAATCTTCTGGAAAGAAGAGGCCTCTGCACAGAAGGATATGATGGGAATTTATGTAGCAAAATGGGTTTCTGATCCATGTCTACTGCTCCCCACCAGATGGGACTCCTGAAAAGCCAGCTCTGCACTGTGGTCAAGCCCAACCAGGGGCGTTGACAGAGGTGGTCCGCAGCTGCAGCCTCGGGACTACAGCCCAGAGATGAAGTGAGGAAATGAGTAAAACAGAAAATGGGAGAGTTATAACCCGTTTTGCAGGGAGGGATGTCCACTTGGTGGAGCCAGGGAGGACACTGTTCACAAAGGCTACCGTCCCAGATTTGGCTTGGGCCGATCCACCTTGATGAGGGTCCCTAAGCCTCTGACACCATGCCTCCCTGGCACTTGTCCTGGATGTGAAGTTCTGGTGGCCACGCCTCACTGCCTTGGTAACCCTGGTGCTGCGGGAGCTAAGGAGGAACTGCAGGAATGCATCCATGTTTCCCACAGTGGCCTTCAAGAGCAGCGTTCAACAAGAGTGGTTATGATGTCTGCAGTAGGCAGATGTGGCTACTCAGTGGTCACGTGTCTTTCTGAGCTGCCTAGGAGGGCACCACAGGCTTCCCCTGATGTCCTGCCCTGGAGACTGGTGATCTCCCCGTCAGCCCACGATGTCGGGTTAGGTACCACCACTCTGTGCTGCAGACCACCACTTTTATGGCTCTCAGAGGAAACCTAGCAGGCTTCCAACAGAGGCTGAGACACAGTGCTCAGGCCCACAGCTGATGCCATTCTACTGCAGCAGAGTGAAAAGCAGCTAAGGTGGGCAATGCTGCGGAGCTCACCCACGTACAGCAGAGCCGGGAACCTGCATCGCCCTTTCCCCAGGTCAGCAGGGTGGTTGGCAGATACTCCCGTATCTGAGTAATAGCACCTCAGTTGGCCAGGATGTCCACACCCCTCACACCTCAACCACACACCAACACTACCCCTTTTAGGGAATCAGAAACAAAGGTAGATTTAGAATATTTAGAACTCTTCTTACTCATTAACAACCTGCCATAGGCAGATGATACAATCTTGCTTGATGACAGCCAAGATAACTTAAAATACTTACTGGTGAAGATCAAAGGCCACAGTCTTCGGTATGGGTTGCAACTCAATGTAAAGAAAACAAAAATCCTCACCACTGGACCAATAAACAACACTTATATAAATAGAGAAAAGATTGAAGTTATCAAAGATTGAAATTGCCAGAGATGCTTGGATCAACCATCAACTTTCATGGAAGAAGCAGTTAAGAAATCAAAAGAAGTATTGCATTAGGCAAATCTGCTGCACAAGACCTCTTTAAAATATTGAAGAGCTAAGGTGTCAGTTTAAGGACTAAGGTGCACTTGACCCAAGCCATGGTATTTTCAATAACCTCATATGCATATGAAAGTTGGACAGTGAATAAGGAAGATCATAGAAGAATTGATGCTTTTGAGTTATGGTGTTGGAGGAGAATATTGAAAGTGCCATGGACTGCCAAAAGAACCAACAGATCTGTGTTGGAAGAAGTGCAGGCAGAGTGCTTCTTAGAGGCCAGGATGACCAGACTTCATCCTTTGGACATATTGTCAGGAGGGACTAGTCATTGGAGAATGCTATCATGTCTAGTAAAGTGGGAGGTCGGAGAAAAAGAGGAAGACCCTCAGTGAGATGAACCGGCCCAGTGGCAGCATCAATGGATTCAAATGTATCAATGATTGTGAGGTTGGCCCAGGACTGGGCAGTGTCTCTTTCTCTTGTACATAGGGTCACTGTGAGTTGATACTGACTTGATGACACCTAACAACACCAACAACAGCTCTTCTCACACACGTGGAGGTAAGATACGCTCTGCTGATTTTACTTGCTGGAAGTGAAGAAGCCTTAAAATACTCAGTGATGAAGACCAAACAATACAGTTTTCAGTATGGATTACACCTCAATGTAAACAAAAATCCTTACACGTGGACCAATAAGTAACATCATGATAAGCAGAGAAGAGATTCAAGTTGTCAAAGACTCAACCGCACCTAACAGCAACAACACAAAAAATCAAGGTCAGTGGTTCAAACACAGCAGACGCTCCTTGAGAACCCTAAACAGAGTAGCCGTGAATCAGAACCAACCTGACACCACTTAAGAACAACAACATATGCTGGTGACCATACCGGGTAAAAGTTCTGAAAACTTCTTAGCCATAAGCAAACACCAAGAAGGAACGAGTCACTAGACTTGAGTTAGGATCACAGTCTTGGTGAACAACCTGTTCAACCTGTCTAACACAATCCACATTGTTCTACATTCTACTTCGGTGAGTAACAACTGGGGTCTTAAAAGTCTGAGAAGCCACCTAATACACAACTATTGGTGTCTCCTCATCCAAAGCAAAGCAGAGTGAAGAAAATCAAAGATTCAAGGAGACAGTGCGTCCAAAGGCCGTAGGGACCACATGAGTCACGGCCACAATATGAACTCTTTGAGAGGCAGGGACTAAAAATGACAAGTGGAACCCCCGAGACTGTGGCTCTTAGACACCCTTCAAGCCTGGCACAACTTGCAGCCAAACACCAGACAGACTTATAACACCTGTGAGGACCAGAGTCCTTTGTACAATCCACCAAAAGGACGGCATCTGCCCAAAAGCCAACCTCAGAAGGCAGGAACGGGCAGAAAAGGACAAATGAACACAGTGAACTCAGGGAGAAAGAGGGGATGAGCGTTAATACAGTGTGTGGGTTACAATCCATGTCATCAAACAAAATGTGTATACATTACTGAATGGAAAACGGATCTGTTCTATAATCTTTCACTCAAACGACAGTGCTAAAAATACAACAATAAGAAAGTCAGAGCGCGTGTGCATGGTTACCACAGGCCATAAAGGAGCAAATGATCTTCAGATCAGGAGAATGGGTGGGATGGGACACTGGCATCCTGTTTAAACTCAAACCCAGCTGCCGTTGGGCTGACTCGGCCTCGTGCCAGCTCACGTGAGCTGGGCTCTGTGATGTGTGCTGTGACTGCAGGTCACCAGGCAGGTGGGCGTGGGCTCAAGGCTTCTGGTTAGTAGCTGAGCATGCAGCCGTTTGAGCCACCTCTGTTTAAACTCAGACAAAGCCCCTTCAGCTTGGCGGGGGTGAAGCTGTGAGTATCCGAGCATCTCCCTTCCAGACAAGCACCTGGTAATGTGATGCGCTGATCCTCACCTCCCACCCACCGCTGGGTCCAAAGAGTGGGGCATGTCCAGCTCACCTTCCCACGTGTGTTCTCCCGTCCTCCTCGGGGTGCTGGACTCTGGAGGGAGAGGACTGGCTGCGGTTCCGGACGAGCAGGGGGGTCTCAGCAGCCACGGAGCTGGTCACCTCCAAGCCTCGGATGTGCACTCCAGTGTGTCTCGGCTGGCGGGGATCCCTGGAGCCAGCGGGCAGGAATGCCTCAAAGCTCTGGGTTTTCATCATCTTCTTCAGGGGGTGCTTCCTGAGGCGGGGGCCGGGGGTGGGCTCGGGTTGGCAGGGGGAGCCGTTGTCCAGGAGGCCACCTGGGCCAAGGTACGTGTCCGCCTGTGAGGGACTGGTACCTTGTGGGGAGGCTGGTAAGCTGCAGCCGGGGACAGCTTCAGGAAGGGTCTCCTCTAGGTGGTTGGTCTGTCGGGTCTGTGACCACAAGGTTTGGTATGGCCCCGGCTCCAGGGTGGAGGGCCCCAAGTGCTCAGCATCAGGAAAAGGAGCTGAGTCTTCAGCGGTATTGGGGCATTTCCTGCAGGGAGAAGTCCACCCAGCTGCCTGGAGAAAAGGAGGGAGTCAGTCAGCACGGGGTGACCACACACTATGTGGTTCGCACTAGTCTGCCTACAGCACACCTTTGGGGCTCACTTGGGCAGGGAGGGGGTAGTTGGGGAGTCTGATGAACTCCCAGGGATGGATCCCATGAGTACCAGAGGTGGGGGGTACCACGAGCTCCCAGGGCAGGTCCTGTGAGTCCTAAATTCGGGGGAGTCACGTGAGCACCAGAGGTGGAAGGTCCCGGGAGCTCCCAGAGAGTCCTGTGAGTACTAGAGATGGGGGTCCTGTGAGGACCTGTTGTTGTTAGGGGCCATCAAGTTGGTACCAACTCATAGCGATCCTGTGCGCAACAGAACAAAACACTGCCTGATCCTGTGCCAACCTCACAACTGTTGCTACATCTGAGCCCATCGAAGCTGCCACTATGTCAATCCATCTCATTGGGGGGCTTCCTTTTTGTCCCCGCCCCTCCAATTTACCAAACCTAATATCCTTCTCAAGGGACTGGTAGGTCATAATAATACATCCAAAGTATGAGAGACAAAATTTGGCCATCCTGGCTTCCAGGGAGCACTCTGGCTGTACTTCTTCCAACACAGATTGGTTTGTTCTTTTGGCAGCCCATGGTACATTTAATATTCTCTTCCAACACCATAGCTCAAAGGCATCAATTCTTCTATGGTCTTCCTTATTCACTATCCAACTTTCACATGCATATGAGACTACGGAAAATACCATGGGCTGAGTCTGGCACACCTTAGGCCTCAAGTTGACATCTTTGCTTTTTGACACTTTAAAGAGGTCTTGTGCAGCAGATTTGTCTAATGCAATACATTGCTTAATTTCTTGACTGCTGCTTCCATGAGTGGTGATGGTGGATCCAAGCAAAATGCAATCTTTCACTGCTTCAATCTCTTCTCCATTTATCTTGATGTTATTTATTGGTCCAGTGGTGAGGATTTTTGTTTTCTTGACATTAAGATGTAATCCATACCGAAGGCTGTGCTCTTTGATCTTCATCAGTAAATATTTTAAGTCTTCTTCACTTTCAGCAATAAAGGTTGTATCATCTGCATATCGCAGGTTGTTAATGAGTCTTCCTTCAATCCTGATGCCACATTTTTCTTCATTTAATCCAGTTTCTTGGATTATTTGCTCAGCATACAGGTTAAGTATGGTGAAAGAATACAACCTTGAGCACACATTTCCTAATTTTAAACCATTTGGTGTTCCGTTGTGTGGACCGGAGCACAATGACGTCTTTCACAACTTCACATTTTTTTTTCTCCATTTATCATTATGTTATTTACTGGTACAGTTATGAAGATTTTTCTTTTCTTTACATTGAGATGCAACCCATACCAAAGGCTGTGGTCTTTGATCTTCATCAGTAAGTATTTTAAGCCCTCTTTACTTTCAGCAAGTAAGGTTGTATCATCTCCATATTGCAGGTTGGTAATGGGTCTTTCTCAATCCTGATGGCATGTTCTTTGTTATATAATCCAGCTTCTGGGAATATCTGCTAAGTCTACAGACAGAATAAATATGGTGAAAGTACACAGAACTGAAGCACACCTTCCCTGATTCCAATATATTCAGTATCCTCTTGCTGTGTTTCAGCAGATGTCTCTTGGTCTATGTACAGGCTCCTTAAGAGCACAGTCAGGTTCTGGCATACTCATTCTTCACAACGTTATCCACCTGTCGTGATCCGTGCAGTCAGGAGTCTTTGCATAGTCAGTAAGGTGCAGGTAGACATCTTTTTGATTTTCTCTACTTTCAGCCAAGATCCATTTGATGGAAGTGCACACGTCTATGCAGGGTAAATCTGGGTGTCAGCACTGAAGTGCCTGGAAAGGTTGCAGGGCACATATGGATGGAGGGAAAGTCATACATGTGTGCTTGGTCATTGTCAGCAGCACCATTCTTGCTCTTGTTAAGTGCCGTTAAGTCGCTTCCCACTCACAGAAACTCTTAATAGGGTTTCTGAGGAGCAGCTGGTGGATTTGAACTGCCGACCTTGTTATTTGCTGTCCAGTGCTGATCCTACAGTGCCACAGCAGGCCTTCTCTGTCGGAGCCTCCGAATTAACTTGCTTTTCCATTCAGTCAACACTTCCATTGCCACAAGGAAACGGCACCCATCTCTTTCTTCATGAGCTACGGGTGCATCCAGCAGTGGGGGTCCTCCCTCTAAGGCCTGGGGACACTGACCTCGGTGGGGTCCTCCTCGAGCGGCTGCACCTCCTGCAGGCCCTCCAAATGCTGCAGACACCTGTTGGAAGAGAGGACGAGCCTGTGCACCTCCTCATCCACCTGGTCGTACAGTCTGGTGGCCACCTCAATGGCGTCCCTGTAAAAGAGGGTAGATGGCACATCCTTATATCCATGGGGGGGGGATGGTGCTTCCGACACCAGAACACTCCTCATGAGCCCACTCATGCCTGAAAGAAAGAAGTGCACACCCAAGGAAGGAGCCCGCAAAGACACCCAAGACAGAGCTCCGACCAGGCTGGAGAAAGGCTGACTCCACATGGCAGTGGGGGGATGGAGTAGGGGATGGAAGCCCCCAGGGCGACATGGAAGCATGATTCAGGGCCACTGACTCTGAGTCTCCATCAGGGTGTCTGGGTGTCTCGTCAGACCATGTGAGAATGGTTTAGCTCTGGTCCAGGCAAAGGTGATGATGCAGGTTAGGGTGTAGTTTCTGGACTCCCTGGAGAGCTATTCCCTATGTACTGCAAGCTCCCCAGAGCAGCCACCCCCCATGGGCTCTGGGAGACCTGCTCCAGGGTCCACTCACCGGCCATCCTCACTGGTGCCAAGCTCGTCCCTCCTGAGCCTCGCCAGAATGGCGCCACCCTCCAGCCTGAGGGTGACCAGCAGTGTGTCTTCCAGGACGCACTTCATCATGGCCCTGTGCGTTCGGATGAGCTCGGTCACTTCCTGCAGAGAAGAAATAGCCATACAACCTGCTCCAAGGCAAACTCCCCACCCACTCCCATCTACTAGCAGACGCCCTGCTCCAAGAGAACCCACCCAGTTTATTGTAGTGGTTATTGGAGGTGTTAGTTGTTTTCTGTACATTGAGGAGCAAACCATACCGAAGGTCATGCTCTTTGACCTTCATCAGTAAGTATTTTAAGTCCGCTTCACTTTCAGCAAGCAAGATTGTATCATCTGTATATCGCAGGTTGTTAATGAGTTTTCCTCCAATCCTGAGGCCACGTTCGTCTTCATGTAATCCAGCTTCTCAGATTACTTGCTCAGCATACAGATTGAATAAGTACGGTGAAAGAATACAAGCCTGATGCACACCTTTCCTAATTTTAAACCATTCAGTGTTCCCTTTTTCTGTCTGAGCAACTGCATCTTGGTCTATGCTCAGGTTTCTTAAGAGCACAACCAAGTGTTCCAGAATACTCATTCTCTGCAATGTTGTTCATAGCTTGTCATGGTCCACACAGTCAAAAGTCTTTGCGTAGTCAGTAAAGCACAGGTAGATATATTTCTGGTATTCTCTGCTCTCAGCCAAGATCCATCTAACATCAGCAATGATATCCCTCATTCCATGTCCTCATCTGAATCCAGTGAACCTCTGGCAGTGCATCGTTGCAGCCATTTTTAAATCAGATCATATGTTACCTCCTGAAATGGGTGAACATTGACCAATTCTTTCTAGTATAGTGACTGTGTATTCCTTCCATCTTCTTTTGATGCTTCCTGCATCATTCAATATTTTTCTCATAAAATCCTTCAACATTGCAACTCGAGGCTTGAATTTTTCCTTCAGTTCTTCCAGCTTGAGAAATGTAGTGTGTCTTTTTCCCTTTTGGTTTTCTAACTCCAGGTATTTGCACATTATAATATGTTACTCTGTCTTCTCAAACCACCCTTTGAAGTCTTCTGTTCAGGTCTTTAACGTCCTCATTTCTTCCATTTGCTTCAGCATCTCTACACTTCAAGCCTGAGAGAGTCTCTTCTGACATTCATTTCAGTTTTTTCTTTCTTTCCTTTTTAGTGATCTGTTGCTTTCTTCAGGAATGATGTCCTTGATGTCATCCCACAGCTTGTCTGGTCTTTGGTCATTAGTGTGTAATGGAGCAAATCTTTCCTTGAGATGGTCGCTAAATTCAGGTGGGATGTATTCAAAGGCATACTTTTGCTTCCATGTACTTGTTTAATTTTCTTCAGCTTCAGCTCAAAACTGCATAGTTGACATCTGGTCTGGCTCTGACTGATGACATTGAGCTTCTTCATCATCTTTTCCTACAGACGCAGTTGATTTGAATCTTGTACTTTCCATCTTGTTAGTTACACGTGTACGTTGTTGTTGTTATTAGGTGCCATTTAGTCAGTAATGACTCAGAGCGATCCTATGTCCAACAGAATAAAACACTGTCCAGTCCTGCACCAACCTCACAATTGTGACTACATTTGACCCCATTGCTGCTGCCATTGTGCTAATCCATCTCCTTTGGGGGCTTCCTCTTTTTCTTTGGCCCTACATTTGACCAAATATGATATTCTCTTCCAGAGACTGGACTCATCCTGAAAATATGTCTGAAGTATGAGAGACGAAACTTAGCCATGCAGATTTCCAGGGAGCACTCTGGATGCACTTCTTCCAACACAGATCTGTTGTTTCTATGGGCAGCCCATGGTACTTTCAATATTCTCTTCCAACACCGTAACTCAAAAGCATCAATTCTTCTACAGTCTTCCTTATTCACTGTCCAGCTTTTGCTTGCATATGACGTTATTGAAAATACCATGGATTCTCTTGTTGCCTTTTGAAATTTTCTCTTCAGCTCTTGGACTTCCTCATTTCTTCCATTTGCTTTAGTATCTCTACACTGGAGAGCAAGTTCCAGAGTTTCTTCAGACACCCATTTTGGTCTTTTCCTTCTTTCTTGTCTTCTTAATGACTTTGTGCTTTCTTCCTGTATGATATTCTTGATTTCATCCCATAACTCCTCTTGTTTTCAGTCTTTAGTGTCTGATGCATCAAATCTGTTTTTGAGATGATCTCTAAATTCAGGTGGAATATGTTCCAGGTCATATTTTGGCTCTCATGGACTTGTTTCAATTTTCTTCAGCTTCAGCCTGAACTTGCATATGAGTAATTGTTGGTCTGTTCCACAGTCTGCCCCTGGCCTTGTTTTTACTGATAATATGGAGCTCTTTCACCATCTCGTTCCATAGATGTAGTCATTTTGATTTCTGTGTATTCCATCTGGTGAGGTCGATGTGTATAGTCATCTTTTATGTTGTTTAAAAAAGGTACTTGCAATGAAGAAGTCATTGGTCTTGAAAATTTTCTATCATTTGATTTCCAGCAAAATTTATAACAAAGGCCATATTGTCCAACTACTGATACTTCATCTTCATTTCCAACTTTTGAATTTCAAGTGTCAATAATTATCAACATATCTTGATTGCATGTTTGATCAATTTCAGATTGAAGAAGTTGGTAGAATTCTTTCATTTCATCCTCACTGGCTCTGGTGGTTGGTGCATAAATTTGAATAATAGTGGTATTAACTGGTCTTCCTTGTAGGTGCGTGGATACTATCCTATCACAAACAGAGCTGTACTTCAAGACAGATCTTGAAGTTGATAAAATCTTCAATTAATTTGGCATCAGTGGTTGGTGTGTATATCTAAATAATAGTCAGATTAACTGTTCTTCCTTTTAGGCATATGGATATTATCCCATCACTGAGAGCACAATACTTCAGAACATATCTTGAAATATCATTTCTGGCATAGTAGAACATATGCTTACCAGTCCACTTCAACTCACTAATGCCTAGGATACATCTTCACATGCTTCATTTCACTTGTGATTACTTCAATTTTCTTAGTTTTATACTTTGCACATTTTACATTCTGATTACTATTGTATACTTGAAGCAGGTCCTTCTCATTTTGAGTTGTACCACACCAGTCTCAGAACTTCTATACCATCCACATCACTAAGGTGGAGTCCACTTTTAGGAGGCAGCTCTTCCCAAGTCGACTCTGGAGTGCCTTCCAACCTGAGGTCTCCATCTTGTGGCAGTATATGAGGCAATGTACTTCTGCTATATTTAACGTTTAAATGGCCTTTGTTTCAGAAGTAGAACACCAGTAGTCTGGAAGCTCCACTGAACCTGTCCTCCACGGGTGACCCTGCTGGTGTTATAATATTCAGTGGCATAGCTTCCAACACACAAGAGCCACCAGTGACAGACAAGTAGTGGTCCCAGTTCATTAACAGTCGACATTATTAATGATGCACATTATAAATAAAACAAAACACCACAGGGGGCACCCAGTATAAGCAGGAAGGCAGTGGAGTCCCAGACACACTGAAAGGGAGGCTGAGTCTGGGATTGAAGTTCATGGGAAGAAAAGAAGGGTTCTCAAAACTCAGTTACAACAAACCTACTATTCAGACAAGGGATATATGGCTCTGGTCCATGGATCCCCCGCCACCCATGAGAGGTCTCCAGGGTACCCTAGCCTCATATTCTAGACTGCTGTGGCCTATGAGGTCAATCTGTCTCTCTATCTTGCTTCAATGACTTATTCCCAACAGCAATCACTGTTTGTGCCATACTGGCATATCCCCAAATATGATGGTGTGCCTTTCCTTAAGGACGGGATGGGTTTTATGGTGACATTCAGGAAGAAGTGATCTTTTGTGAATTGAAAGGAATTGACAATCAAAACATTTGAAATTCTCTGTTCAGATGATGGTAAAACCAAATATTTATTTTAAAGTTTTAGCTAAACCATATGTCCCCATCTGTCAAGCAAATAAAAGCAGGAGAACGTACCTGTGCTGTATTTAGGACTCTGTCGGTATTCAGGGAACAGACTGAATTTTGTAGGAAAGCAATGGCTTGTTTGCAGTTTGCTGTGAAGGGTTCCAATTTCTATCATAGTTTGAGAAGTGGGAGACAGTAGTAGAAAAGTTGTCAGATGCTGAAATAAACAGCTTTGAATTCCTAGATTTATGCTAATCTCATGGCTGTAAATGACTGTCAGGGTGTTAAGTGTGATCTTTGGAAAATCCAATGGAACTATCAGCTGGGAGCAGCCCCACCTCCCGCAATCCAGGGCAGATTTCAGGCCTCAATACAGGGAGGCATTTTCTTGGCTGTCCAGAGACAGTCTGCAAGCAATGACTGTGACCAGTATGGAGCTCAGAATGGTGCTGTCTTCAGATCTGAGTAAAAATATCCACATGCAGAGAAGTGTCCAGGGTCCTGACAAAGGCGGGGAAGCCACTTACCCTTCGGAAGGTGATCCAGTCACTGTGACTGTAGGGGAAAGAGCCGTCGAGCTCAGCAGTCAGCTGGGAGCTATCAATGAGCTTGTGCAGGGCCTTCAGGGAGTTCAACACCTCACACTGTCAAGGAGAGGCAGTCACATGTTAGGGCCACAGACCACCACCAAAGATCTGCTTCTGGGAGAACTGTTATTACTGGGTACAGAGATCTGGCGAGGCTGGTGCAGGCTTAGCTGTTCTGGGAGACACTAATGAATATCATGTGGTTGTATACAGTCATGAAGGTGACAGTCAGTGAAAGCAGAAGAGTACAAAGAGAAATGAAGAAAAGTCCTGAATTAAGGAAAGGCAGAAATAAGATGAGGGAAGAAGGAAAAGGGCAGAAAGGAAGGGGGAAGTGAGCATGAACAAGGGGCTCTACTTGCACTATGCCACAGTTGACGCTTCTCAGAAGTCTGCACACAGTATAAGGAGAGTTACCAGCAGGTGAATGTCAGAGAAACGGAAACTGTCATGAAGGGACTGGCATGGAGTGACTTCCTCATTTCTGTGGCTTTGACCTGGAGGCAGGCTGTGTATATGGTGAGAGGTGGAGTGGCTGATGCTTTACTAGGAAAAGGGCATCTTTCAGTCCAAAAAGCCAGAGGATAGAATATGGGCATCCATAGCCATTTGAAAGGAAAAGTAGGTTTCCAGAAGGAAAAAACCTAAGAAGGGGACGCCTCAGATGTGTATGGAAACTCAGTTCACGTCTCTAAATGCATGCGGCAGATTGAAAGCAGCCTGCAGCTAAAGGCAGAAAAAACTGAACCAAACCATTAAAGATGACAGTTTTCCAGTTGAGTTCAACCATGTTAAATTCATGCTAAAAGAACACTCTTCAAAGATTTATAATGGAATCCAGTCTCCACAACCAGATTCGTCACAGTGCCAAGGTTACAATGAAAAGTTACTCAACACATGAAGAATCAGAAAAAGTATAACATCTTACAGGGAAAAGATAATCAACAGAGGCTAACCCTGAGATGACCCAGATTTGGAGTTATTAGACAAAGATTTTAAAGCAGTTATCAGACAAAGCTTCCAGATGAAGACAGAGTAGGAAGAAAGAGAGATGGGCTACTTCAGAATATTTAGACACTGAAAACCTGATGAAAAGAGTGGAACGCTGTCAGCACCAGAATACTGAATATTGAAATATGATTAAGGGAATACTATCAGATATAGTGCCAGAAGATGAGCCCCTCCAATTGGGAGGCACTCAAAATACGACTGGGGAAGAGGTGCCTCCTTAAAGTAGAGCTGACCATGATAACGTGAATGGAGCAACGCTTTCGTGACCTTCATTTGCTGATGGAGGACAATAGAAAATGAAGAAAAATAGCTGCAAACATTAAAAATGAAAACATGAAATACATGGAGTATGAATCTAGGAAAATTGGAGATTGTAAAAAATGAAATGGAATGCAAAAATATTCATATTCTAGGTATTGGTGAGCTGAAATAGACTGGTATTAGCCAATTTGAATCTGACAATCACATGGTTTATTATGCCAGGAATGACAAATCGAAAAGAATGGCACTGCATTTATTATCAAAAAGAACGTATCAAGATCTGTATTGAAGTATAATACTGTCTATAATATGATAATATCCAATCCCGTACTAGGAAGACCAGTTAATACCTCTATAATTCAAATTTACTCAGCAACCACTAGAGCCAGTGATGATGAAACTGAAGAATTCTACCAACTTTAGGAGTTCTGGTAGCGTAGTGGTAATGAGTAGGATTGCTAACCTCAAACAGTAGTTAGAAACTACCAGCTGTTCCACAGAAGAAAGATAAAGGTTTCTGCTGGTGTAAAGATTTACAGCCTCGGCAACTCTATACAGAGTCGCTATGAGCTAAACCAGATTTCATGGAAAACCACCACCTCCATCACCACCAACTTCTTCAGTTTCAAACTGATCACACATGTAATCAAGATGTATCAATAATTACTGGTGATTGGAATGCAAAGGTTGGAGACAAAGAGGAAGAATCAATAGTTGGAAAATATGGCTTAGTAATGGAAATTAGGTTGGAGATTGCATGATAAAA